ATAATTTAAAATTAATATTTTAATTTATTTTTAGAATCATTATATTCATTTTTCTCATTATTTTTTTCATAAAAAAAGTATATTTCAATACCATTGATGACTAAATTTATAACGCGTGACACAAGCTGATAATTTATTATTTTTTATTTTTTATATTTTTTATGTAGAATCATTATATTCATTTTTCTCATTATTTTTTTCATAAAAAAAGTATATTTCAATACTATTGATGACTAAATTTATAACGCGTGACACAAGCTGATAATTTTTTATTTTTTATTTTTTATATTTTTTATGTAGACGGTAAAGTAAGCTGATATTTTTTAATTAGAGAGATGAAATAACTGAAATCACTAAATTATATTGTTCCAATGTGTGGCAAGATTAGTGGACCCTTTTCAAACCAATGTCATGTCCATGACGAAAATGTCAAAACTGTTCTGCTGTACCACAATAAAATTCAAACCTCCTATTAAAAAAAAAAACAAAAACTATTTCAGTTGAGGAGGTGCCTACTTGACCATCTGGAGAGCTAGTATAATTATTTATAATTTTATTAAAGACTGACTCCTTTTTTTTTTTTTTTTAACATTTTGACACGAGACGGGTTTGAAATTCGCCCAAAAAAAAGGGAAATGCACCTAGTAAGCTAGTTAATACTAGTGGACCTCTAGGCTCAGGTGCAAGACTGACTCCTGTTATTATACTTTTAAAAAAAAAAAGGTATAATTTAGGTAAGAGAGAATTATAGTATAGTAATTTTATGATTTAAATTTTAATTATTATTAAAATATTATATGTATATATTAAGTGACTCATAAAATTTAATGCTAATCTTATTATTATATTGGTTACTCAAAAAGACAATAAAAAGTGATTAATTTCTTTAAGAAAAAAATAAACTACCAACCACACTTTAATTGATTTTTTAATACTAATAATGAAAAAAATATATAAAAAATATTGATAGCTCTATAATTATAATATTATTTAAAATTATAAATTTATAATTATATATTATTATTTAATAAATATACTTAATATTATAAATTATA